ATTGCACTTCCATGGTACTCATAAAGTTCACCACCCATATACACATTATTACGTGAAAGAGAGAATAAATTTGAAACAACATCAATTATTTTCATGTAGGGGTCTATATCCACATCATGTGTCATTTAGCATATCATGTTTCATCAAGTTTAATTTCTATATATCATTCCATCCATATCTCTTCTCAACTTCTGATATACTCTCATTTATGATTAATTATTAGACCCAAACACAAACCACATGGATAGAAGCTCCATATATTCATGGCATATTTGGCAGATGAACAAAAACAATAACTTAGAATAAACAATTTATAAAATCAAATTGAAGAAAACTAAAGTAAAAAATGTTTAATTTTACTTTATTTAAATAGATCAAAGAATAGTTATCCTGATCTTCATTAATAATTTGGGATAAAATAATATATTATAAATAAATATAAAAAAAAGAATAGTATGAAAATATAAAATATTTTTTATTTAATGATTTAATTTAATATTTATATAAAAAATTAAATAAAAACTAAAATTACAAATATATATAAAAGTATATTTAATGATTATTAAATTTAGAAGATTAAAATATTTAAGTTTGAAATTTTTGAAACATCATAACTCCTTACTTCTAAAAAAGATTTGGTCGCTCATTATCTAAATAAGCTTTAATTTATTTATTATAAAAATAATTTTTTAGAATAGTAAAAAAAATATATATATATATATAGAGAGAGAGAAAGAAAATTCTTTAAAATTATTAAAATACATCAATGCTTATATATTTTCTAATATTTTATTGATTTTAAAATATAAATATTTTAATTTTAATTTTAATTAATGATTATTATGTTCTTTGAATAAGTTATATTATTTAAATTCTATTAATAATAAAGCATATTTTATTAAAAATTTATAGTCTTATTTATAGGGTGTTTTATGAGTTGTTTTTTATAATGTATATTATTTATTTTCATTTGCCTCTATTAAATATTATATAAATATATGTTTTAATAAATAATGAAAAAATAAATTTGAAATCTAATAATGAAAATAAACTTCGTATATTAATAATATTATTTTTAAGTTTTAAAAAATATTTATTTTTATTAATTTGTATGATTTTATTTTATTTATATACGTAATTTTATTAGAAGTATCCTATACCATTCAATTTTTAAGTTCATTTTTTTAATGTTATTTGATTAAATTAGGAACCAATGTATGAAGTTTACAAAATATGTATTACCATAACAAAATTTAATATCATTAATAACGTGGAGTACATTTTAAAATAATTAATTACTTCTAACTGTGCTCACATTCAAAAGGTCGTATTAGTCCGTCCATCACAAGAACCCAAAAGCTTACGTAAAAGATTCCATCTTATATATTGTTTGTTTTATTAATAAAATTTATTTCGAAAGCGACAATTCGCATGTTGAATTATATATATTTCTTTAAATAGTTAGTTTTTTTTTTTTTCAAACTGCAAAATGCAAGTTTTAAAATACATATGTGGCTAATGCTCAGGGTTTTATTTTGTATCTTAAAACATCTTAAACAATAAAAAAAAAATAATACTAGACGATACATTATATCTATTAATTTTAGTAATAAAAAAGCTTTGCTAAAAACTTAAAATAGGTTTCACTTTCGAACTGTATATTTTTAGTACACTCTCCCCTTTTTACAATGTTATCTGCATTTTCGATGGCACATACATTTTTATATTTTTTAATCTTTGTTTATACATGTGTTCATTATATTAATGAAAGGAGAAAAGATAAGAAAGAAAGAATAAAATATAACAACTTATTATAATAAAAAAATTGTATATTTTTGTTGGTGTAAACAACCTTAAAAAACAGATGAAAAAAAGGAAAAGAGTATACGAAATTTGTTTCACTTAAATATATAATATATTAATATTAAATAAGTAATATGTAATGTAATATGTAGTTATATATATATATATATAAATTCTAGCAGTTTGGTATCATAAAAAATAAATAAAATAATCAGAGTTAAAAATAAATTATTATGATTTATATATTTAATAAATCTGAAAGAAAAATAATATGATATATTATTGCTGGCAAATTATATATATATATATATATATATATATATATATATATATATATATATATGTGTGTGTGTGTGTGTGTGTGTGGTGAGAAAAAAAAACTAAAATTTGAATTAATATTATAGAAAAATTAATTATACGGAAAATTGGGGACATTTTAAGGTCTCTATTTTTACTAAGGATATTATATATATATATATATATATATATATATAACATGTATAGTAAAGAAAAAGAAAATAAAATATTATATAAAATAATAATAATAATAATAACAAAGAGATCACAAGAAGCTCCAAAGAAAATTGTTTTGGGAAGGCAGTATTTATGTAATCAAATTGGAAACTCTTTGGCTACACAAAAGTTGAGGTGGAATATATTTTAGGTAATTAAGCTTTTAGTGGTGAATACTTTTTCTATAAAACTTTGGTTGAAAAAATTATTACAAAAGCCCAATAATCTTTATATGCAAATTATAAAAGAGATATATGTTGAAGGTAATTGGAACAATTACTTTTTGTTATTTGGTAAGTATCTCAATTCTAAAAATTGACCAATATAACTATTTAATTTCTATTTATGTTTTTCATTCAATGTGTTAATGTTTCTTCTCATTAAAAAACTAAAATAATTTTGTGTTTTTTTAAAATGTTTCAAGAACATATTTGTGTTGAAGTTTTATTATTATTATTTATTATTAAAAAATAGTGTTAAAAAGTTATAACTAAACTTTAAAACTTAAAACACAAACATCTAAATTGAAAAATATTTTTGAAGAAAATAATCAACCGATAAATCTCTAATTGATTGTTTGGATAGGGGAATGGAATTGAGTTAGCAGAAAATAAGAGAAAGATAATAAAAAATAAAATTGTTTTGATTAAGAAAAAACGTGGAAAGTAAAAAATAAAAATTAAAAAAATTATAGATGATGAAATTGATGTGATTAAATAGAAAAAATAAAATAACAAGATAAAAAATATATATTAACCAAAATATTCTTATTATGGTAAGTAAAATAAATAGAAAATAAAATTGTGATGTAATATAATAATATATATTAATTAATTTATATCATACATAAGAATTTAAATATGTTAAAATTAATTTATATTTAAATATAAAAATAATTTGTGATATTTTATAGAAATATTAGATTTTAATTTTTATAATTATAAAAATTTAGAGTATTTTTAAAATTTTCAAAAAATATTATTTGGAAAATCATTTAAAAATAAATTTTAAATTGTTTAAATAATGAATTATAAATCATGTATAATTTTATTAATTAAAAAAACAAAATAAAATTATATATTAAAATTACATTATTAAAAAAGTTAAAATTTATTAATAATTTACATTATAGTATAATATACTTAAGTAAATTAAATTTTTATTTAAATATTTATTTTTATTCTAAAAAAATATACAAATAGTTTTATATTCCAATATTAATTCATGTATAATAAATATAAAAATATATTTTTTTAATATAATAATATATTTTTTATATAATCGATTTTACATTCATACCACTAGTTAAAATCATTATAATATAATCTATTAGTTAAAATTATATATTCTAATAATAAGAGTGTTTTATTTTTAAAGTTATATTAAAATTATAATGTATAATTAAATAAAAATAAAAATATAATTAGTTAGTAAGCAGTAATATATATATATATATATATATATATAATTAACATATTTTTATATTAAAAATAAAAGATTAAATATAAATATATATAAATATAAATAATTAAAAATAATATAATGTTTAATATATATTTTTGTGTATTAAAATTTTATTTGAAATAAAATTTTATTAGAATTAATTAATCAAAATATTTTATATTGTAATATATCTTTAAAAGGATAATTAAGGAAAACAAAAAGTATTATATCTTTTCCCTTCAAATCTTTTAAATGGAGAGAAGAAATATATTATTCTAGAAGTTTAGTTTATTTCTTTTTAAATAAGTACATTTTCACTAAAATAAACTTGGAAACTTTTAGGTAATGCGTGCTTTCTATCTTCGACTACAGTAAATAACGTGAAACAGAGGGGAAGTAATTTAGTTACATAAAATTGCATCCAGGTTATTAATCAAAAAGAAAATTTTGTATTTGTGTAATTGTTTATGGGTTAAAATACTCTAATTATAATATGCAACTCATGTTTCTAGGTATCTTGTAAAATTACTCTAATTATAAATATTAACATTTAATATTACATTTCCATTTTATTTAAAAAAAAACCCATTATAAAACTTAACAATCAATTAAATTGTTTATAAAACAGTGATTTGCATTTTAACTGTTTTCAATTTTATTTTAATCATCAACTATACAACAAATTTAATAATAGTTTGAAATTCAATAATAAATTATACATTTTTAAATTCTTAAATATGACTAAATTAGTTATATTATAAGATTGTTAAAAACATCTAACCTATTATATGTTAACAATGAGAATATTTCAAATAACATATTTTTAATATAGCATTTTCTAAGATATAATAATAGGTTGAAGGATGTAATAAAGTGGGCTTATACTTAAAGTAAAAGAATTGAAATGAAATGGTTGTTCTACAAAAATTCTCTTTACTTTGAGGAGAAGAAGAAGAGAAGTGGAGATGAAATTAACAAAACCACACACACCATTCACATAAACAGACAGAGAAACAAAGCAAATTAATTTTATTTAATTTAAAAGAAAAACGGTTGGAAAGGGCATAAGAAAACATTTGGTAATAATTTGCAGCATTCCCCACTTTCACGTGAGTCCGACTTCAAATCCAGCTGCTCCCCACTGCTGGAAACTACTACTCTTTCAGCAACACATGTCTCAGTTTTCAACCTCCAAACACTGAAAAAACAAACAACACGCACAACCGAATCACGTCGAAACAATGCATCGTCCTCCGAAAACGGCAACGACACTGCTCGCTCTGTTGCTATACATGTTGAGGCTGGTCTCTTGCGCTCCCCCGGCGCTCCCCTCCGACGCGGTGGCGTTGCTGTCGTTTAAACAAGAAGCGGACGAAGACAACAAGCTCCTCTACGCGCTGAACGAGCGGTACGACTACTGCGAATGGCAGGGAGTGAAGTGCGCGCAAGGGAGGGTAGTCCGCTTCGTGGTCCAGTCCATGGGCCTGCGCGGCCCATTCCCTCCGGACACCCTCACCAGACTGGACCAGCTCCGGGTTATGAGCCTCCGCAACAACTCCCTCTTCGGGCCCATCCCCGATCTCTCCCCTCTCTCCAACCTCAAGACCCTCTTCCTCGACCACAACAACTTCTCCGGTTCCTTCCCTCCCTCTCTTCTCCTCCTCCACCGCATCCTCACTCTCTCCCTCTCCCACAACAACCTCTCCGGTTCGCTCCCGGTTCGGCTCACTCTCCTCGACCGTCTCATCGCCCTCCGCCTCGATTCCAACAACTTCTCCGGCGCGCTCCCTCCTCTCAACCAAACCGCGCTCAAACTCCTCAACGTCTCCAACAACAACCTCTCTGGTCCTATTCCCGTCACCCCCACCCTCTCTAAACTCAACGCGGCGTCGTTTTCGGGAAACCCTAGTCTCTGCGGGGAGATTGTTCATAGAGAGTGTGACTCACGCTCGCGCTTCTTCGGCCCCGCCACGTCATCCTCCACGGCGCCGTTGAGCCAGAGCGAACAGTCTCAGGGTATTTTGGTTGTGCCTGCTTCCACTAAAACAAAGCGTCATCAAAAGACTGGGCTGGTGGTTGTAGGTTTTGTTGTGGCGGTTGTTCTTGTTAGTGTTTTTGGTGTGGCAGTGGCTTCGTTGGTGAAGAGGAGGCAGACGGCGGTTGGGAAAGCGGTGGTTGTGGAGCGGGGTGAGGTGGAGGGAGGTGTGGAGGAGGGGGAGAAGGAAGTGAAGGTGAGGAGGATGGAGGAGGCGCACAGGAGTGGGAAGCTGGTGTTCTGCTGCGGGGAGGTGCAGCAGTATACACTGGAGATGCTGATGAGGGCTTCGGCGGAGTTGCTGGGGAGGGGAAGCGTGGGGACGACGTACAAGGCGGTGCTGGATTCGCGGCTGATTGTGACGGTGAAGAGGTTGGATGGGAGGAAGAGTGAGGGGAGCGATGGGGCCGTGTTTGAGCGCCACATGGAGGCTGTGGGGAGGCTTCGTCACCCCAATTTGGTGCCGTTGAGGGCTTATTTTCAGGCCAAGGGAGAGAGGCTTGTCATATATGATTATCAGCCCAATGGAAGCCTCTTCAACCTCGTTCACGGTAACTACTTTTCCATTTATTAAGATGAATTATGAAGTCAACCACACTATTTTGAGGATCCTAATTGTATAAACTTTTTCCTTAAAGTAAAAGAAAAATGTGAGATGAAGCAAATTTCTTTCCATAACTTAATGCAATTCTCTTACTCTTACAATATATCTTTTTCAAGTTTAAATACATGAGTTGATTTTAATTTTTATAACTAATTATTTTATCTTTTCACTTATTGTAAATGCATATTCAGTTCTTCACTTATATTCTTCTTGCCGGCCACATTACACACTTTTGTGTTTTCTGCACTCTGCACCATAGGTAAATATAGATAAGTGTGACTATGCAACAACTGTTGCATCTGAGATACAGTCACAAAGAATCTAAAAACAATGGCATTGCAATCAAAATGACAATGATGCGCCATTTTCAAAACCTTGATTCTAATGGCAAATTGGGTTTTTGAGGCGAAGGGTGGAACCAGATAGAGGATAAATGTTGTGGGTGATGATGCTTCGATTGGAGTTTTGATTTGATGGATAATGTGTTGCTATGCTATTGGTTGTTGTATGTGGAATGGTACGCTGTGTCAGATGGGTCAGTCTATTGTGTGTTGCCTATTTTTTTTTTATTGTTTTTTACTCTGTTTTCCTTTTGAGCGCTGGCTTTCGGGGTTTGGTGGTACCCAATGTCGACAATCACGGACTGTGTTGATTTGGGTACTCTGTTTGGACTATTTTATTGTGGTTGGGTTGTGTGATATGTTTGGAGTATTTTCATGCCAGGTTGACTACCGTGCTTCATACGGTTGACCTCTTGTGGAGCCAAATGCAATTTTATTTCAAAATTTCCAATTTTTATTGTTATTCGTCGTCAGAAGTCTTTATTTAGCGAATTGCTGAGGGACCAATCAGTTTCAGTTTTACTATGATTATTTCTTAACTAGGATAGGTGCTGCACGTGCAGGTTCAAGATCGGCGAGGGCGAAGCCTTTGCATTGGACCTCATGCTTGAAAATAGCCGAAGATGTGGCACATGGACTTGCTTATATACATCAAGTTTCATCTCTAATTCATGGCAACCTAAAATCCTCTAACGTCCTTCTTGGGACGGACTTTGAAGCTTGTATTACGGACTATTGTTTAGCCTTATTTGCGGATTCTTCGTTCTCTGAAGATCCCGATTCAGCGGCTTATAAAGCACCCGAGGCTCGCAACTCTAGCCGCAGGGCCACTTCCAAGTCTGACGTGTACGCTTTTGGTGTGCTTCTACTGGAGCTTTTGACGGGTAAACACCCTTCCCAACACCCTTTTCTTGCACCAGCGGATTTGCAAGATTGGGTGAGAGCAATGAGGGATGATGATGGCAGTGAGGACAACCGCTTAGAGATGCTCACCGAGGTTGCCAGTATTTGCAGTGCTACCTCGCCGGAGCAGAGGCCAGCAATGTTGCTAGTCCTAAAGATGATACAGGGAATTAAGGACAGCGTTTCCATGGAGGATACTTCATTTACTAGACTCTCATAGTTTCTGAACTAAATCTATCTAATCTGACTGGACTGTTTGCGGAGAAGATAATCACACCTTGTCCTCTTGTTGAAAATGAAAGAAATTGTTCGTGGAGGAACTTTGAGGAGTGATTTACTGGCCAGGATGAAAGATTATGCAATCATTTTTGGGGGAATCTCACGAAGTATACAGTAAAAGATGCAGAAGCTTCGGATATTACAGTTTATTATCTACTGCTGCTGGTTTGGGCAGTTTTTTATTAGTTCTATAGACACAGTAAAATAGAATTTTAAATGTATTTGAGCGTATTTTCTCCGTTTGTCGCTGACAAGCAAGGGACGTTGGCAGTAAAAAAACTAAAAAAGGGTGAATCGGGTGGAGATTAACTGGCAGAGATGTACAAATAGTGGAGTTGAAGGAAAGCTTAAAATACTTTAGCACACTAGAGATTTTTTGTTGTGTGTAAATTGAAATTCAGAAATATATATTTGAAATTCACAAAAAATGTTTTTCAAATTTTTATCCCAAATTATTAGTCTCAGTGCCTTCCGTTTGGGTTAATCTAAGTTCTAGAAAACAAGTTAGCCCATGCAACAAAGCCCAGTCCTCTAAGGCCAGCAATTTTAAATAAACTTAAAAATGTGGTTTAGTACAATGTGAAACAAGTTTCTTCTGTCAAAGCGCAACTAGGTCGGGTTCCACCGTACTACAATCTGTGTGGTGCGGGGTATGCGAAGGACTTGATTTTATTTGTTTTAGGTGAATGGACTTTGAATCTATTTTAAATTCAAAACCAGCGTGAATCCCCTCCACCAAGTAACTAGGGTGGCTATATTTTAAGTGCACTACCGGAGAAAAAAATCACATAATAAATAAAGAATTAAAAAATGATATTATTACAGGTGGTAAGTGTTACTGGGGTGTTAGCAAAATGGATGTATAAACCTTGTCCTGCATTCAAATGTTTTTAAGGACAATTGAATGTGTTCACTTTTAATTATTTTAAATTGTTTCAAAATAAAGGTATCTTTGATTTAGTTTACTTTTTTACAGAGCATGTTGGATTTGAAGATGAAGTGAAAATATGAGTTGTACGGTAGAATTTGTTGTGTGTGTGTGTGTGAGTTTAAAGTATTAAGTTAGGAGTGTTTTAATCTCCTTTCTAACTAATCATACTCAAATTAATAGAAATGTCTTATTTTTTTTATTAAATCTTAGTTTTGAACTGGTTTAATTTGTTAAAACTGTTTTTAATCCATTAAAATTTTTTTAGGTTGATTTTTAATTGATAAAAATTTAAAATAATCGATTAATTTTACTTAATCAAATATTCTTAACATCTTTTTGAAAAATATGGTTTGTGAATTTAATTGATAAAACATGGTTTATGAATTTAATTGATTAAAACAATTTATTAATTATTGTAAATTAGTGAAAATTAAAACTTTATTATTTTAATCGATTATTTGAAGGTTTTATCAATTAAAAAATATCAATATAATATTAAGAAATAATGTCTTACTATTTTAATATATTACTATTTTAATATATTAATATTGATATTCATAAGTTAAAATGTTTATTTATATTTAGAGTAATTTTTGTTTGTTCGATTAAATGTATTTTTATCAACTAAAATAATTTATTGAAAATTTCAAAAAGGTTTACCTCTTTATTTCAATTGATTAAAACAATAAAATAATTAATTAATTAGTTGTTTAGTAAATACAATTGATTAAATGTTCGATTTAATCAATTAAAACTAATAAAAAAAATTATAGAAACAGTTTCAAATTCTTTTTTAAAAACACAAATTATAAAGAGTTTTAAGCCAAGAGATGTCTGAGAATTCTACGTGTGCTTTGAATTTCACTGTGAGATAATTCAAAACACTCTTGAGATATTTTTTTCATTTTCTTGAAAATATTTCTTAGAGATTATATTTCTGCACTTGAGGTGTCTTTTTGTATAATTTTTTGGAGTGATTGTTATTTTTGTATTCTTTTCTTTTGGTGTATTTGTGGTACCTAGTGTTGGATTCCAGTTGAGGGCGACTTGATATAATTTACTGGTTATTTTAAGAGTAATTTTTATGTGTTTAAGAAGGTCTTTAGGTAGATAAAGTGTGTCTCCTGTGATTGTCATTAAACATTGATTTAGTGAAACTCAATTGACCATGTTGATAATTAGATATAGCTTAGTTTGATGAACCAATATAAATTCTTGTGTCTTATTTTTCTCTATTTTTTATTTCTTATTTTCTTCCTCAATTAATTCTTGAAAAGATTGATTATGTTATTTAAAAATTGGTTTAATTTTAAATAGATAAATTCATCCTTTCTTGGTTATTGTTTTAATTTAACATATACTTGAAAATGAAGAAAATTAAAAATAAATAAATTTTAAATAATTTATAATTACTTTACATAAAAATTAAATTGAAATATTTTCATATTAATTTTTAAAATATTTTTATATATATATACAAGTTAATTTTAGTTAATATAGAAGTTTATTTTCATTTTTTTTTGAAATTGTTAATGAAAAATTGTTTTGTAGAGGATTTTCATAAATAAAAAATATTAATTATAATTTAGTCCGTTGGTACGTAACTTAAAAATTCAGTTATGTTTTTACTTTTTTTAATGTATGTTTTTATCTTAAATAATAGACTAATAATATCCAATCACATTCATATTACTCATCTGACAAACAATTTGTTCATTTTAAAAATATTTATACCAATTGTTTATGATAACATAAATTCTCTGTTTTATTTTACAATATTTTGTTTTGGCAAAAAAAAAAAATCTCTAAAATATGTTTATTTAAAGAAATGGAGCATATTTGCGAATTAGTTGTTATTTGAGAAGAATAAGAGTATTGTTGGAGCATAAGAACTAATATTGCCACAATATTGTATAGTGACATTTTGAAGCAAATAAAAATTTTCATAGTGACAACGACATGAAAGTAGAATTACCGAGTGATAAAAGGTTTGCTTAATTTAGTTTTGTTTATTAATTTTTAAAGAATTATGCAGTGAATATTTATATCGACAAACCGTGAAAGAAGTCTCAGTTTGAAACCTTTCTTTCGTTGTTAGTCACATTGTGAATTGGTTTTCAAGTTTTTCCTTCATTTCACCGTCTTCATGTTTCCGTTGTAAAATATTTATATTTAATGATAATATTAAGTCCAACTTTGTAATGTCCTTTTAGCTCAACCATTTGTCGTTTCCAGAGACAATTGTGGATCTCAATCTCAATGAATTGAAAATGCATCAATTATAAAGACAATTAGCTAACATTAAAAACACGAGCAATTTCTAGATATATTACATCTGTACAAAAAAAAAAGAAATTTTTCAGTGTAATGATCACAATATACAAAATTTGTCAAAATAAAAAACTACAGAAGTAACATGAGGTAACTTGACAAACTACATATCCTAACCTATGAACATGTGCAAGTTACCCCGATCAACTATGTACTGTAAATTCCTTCCTCTGATCCAGTCCATGTCTATCTACGCCTACCATGTGTTGTTACAACTTACAATCTACACAGAATATGACAACTTTCTCCAACAACCAAACTGTATCTCAGCAAAAAGGACCCTGATAAACAAATCCCAGGAAACTCGTCCAATTTACATCATGCCTGCATGCATGTTGCACATTTATGAGAATAATTCCAGCGTGAGAGCACAATCCTAGTTTCAATTGTTAAAAATAGCTTGTGGAAAAACATGGTAAAGATTACCTGCAACCAACTGTCCTCTTGTCAAGCCGTGTTGAAACACACCGGGGGGCTGTATTCAGAATCATAGATGTCCCTTACTATGAGCTCATGATCATATCACATTAATTAAAGCTTGTGCTCGAGGCCTTGACCTCATAATTGTCTCATCACTATGTTTGATCCATTCTGAGAGTTTCCAGGGCTTCTGCCACTTCCATTTAAATTGTATCAGCCATTGATGATGACTTCTCTTCCACTTCCAAAGTTTTCCGGCTTGTCCCATAGCTGCTAGCCTCTTTGTTGACAACTCCCCAATTGGTATCATCTGAAGATAAAACAATTACAGCTTAATTGAAAAACAAACAATATCATCGTCATTAGAGAAACAGATTGAGGCAGGGATACCTTTCGTGCTTCATCTAAAAAAGTAGCCGACTCCATGACAGACCCATTAACAACTCCAGGGGTGAACTTGAGTTGCTTTGGTGCAGGAAGTGACATTGGAGACAACGGACCACTCATTTCATCCGCAAGGTGTTTCAAGGACCGTGAATTTTCCTGATAGTTTCAGACAGAAACTTCATATAAATATAAATGTGTGATCAAGAAACTACAGTTATTTCTAGTCAAGATCTAAATAATTGATATACATGTTTTGACCTCTGTTAAGATAAAGGTTATGAAGTTCTAGACAGTCATTTCAAAATCATGTGTTCCATCAGAAGCAGTGTATCCTATATAAAACTTTCAAATGCTTGTTACCGATAATCTGTAGCTGTATAATGTAGGAGCTGAAACATTTTATCACACAAACTCATGTTTACGGCAAATAGAATAAGTAAATTCTCACCAATGACGGTGTATTCAATGTGTTGGCAAAAGCTTGTTCCCTTATTTTTTGCTCCTTTACAAGTTCTTTTCTTTGGGCTTCACTTTGTTGTAGTAGTGCTACAAGCTCATTTAGTTGCTCTTTCAAATCCTTAAGTTCCATATTCTTTTCCAACAATTGGCACCTGTTAAAGATGATGCTAGCTACCATTACTTGGAATATAGGAAACAAAAAGTGTCTAAAATTTCACAAAAGAATTGGCATTTAATAAAGCCGAGAAAAAAAAAAGCCAGGTAAAAATAGTGCTAACACCCAGTTCAGAAAGCGGATAATATCAGTAGAAAGGAAATCGTCATTTCTAGTAACTGCCTAGATTTTCTGGTCACTAGCTGAAGATTTATTTTTCCCTTGGAATACAAAGAAAAAGTTCAAATTTAGAAATTGATAACTCTCTACACTCCAGTCAACAGACATAAATAAAAAGCTAGAAAAGAAAAATCAGTTCCTGAGAATATTCCATACACACCTTGCTTCTACAATAGCATTGAACAAATACTGAAGCACATTCTTTGCATCTCCCATTGAGCGTAGCTGGTTCCAACGACCACGGTTGTTTAACGTGCGTTCCCTTTCTTCTGCCTCAGTAAGCTGTGAAGCCATGGCTTTCAAAGCAACTGAAGACATGCACAGCATGTTCTCAAGAGAAGCTATTCTCTCAACTTTTGCATCTGGCGACATGGATAACAGCCTAACAAATGGGAAAACAAGAGATAAGCATAGTTACAGATATGGATCCAAATGGCAACAGAAACACCCATGCATATACTGAAACATGAAAAAAACTTCTACCTCAAATATCTGCTCTTTCCTATGGGAATACTCTGCCCATCTGAAAACTGATCGTGCTTTAATAAAGCCAACTCTTCTTCCATTGCAGCTCGTCTAAAAAATATTCAATCAATGATCAATGTAAAGATAGTTTGGGAGTGTGACATACTGTCTTGGAAAGGAAAAAGGAGGAAAAAAGTGAGTTTGGGAGTGACTCACACTTGATTTTGATTTTCAAATTCAGCACGAACTTCATGCACGTGTACCATGACCTCCAGCTCCTGATCAAGCCACTTCTGGAGGGATTTTTCATTGACCTGGACATACAAATTGAAATTGTAAATAACAGAAAAGTTTATTTGAAGGATATGGTAAGGAACTCTAAAGCATACAAATATTATTATGCAAGTAAAGAATTCAACATTCATTAAATACAATTCATATAAACTTGTTCGTTACCCTGATTTATAACTGATACAAAGATTATCAATTTATCAAAGGATTGACAAGGACGACACAGTGTCACTTATGGTTGCTTCAAGGGTAGGTAGTAAAAGTATACCGACTTGAGTTTATTTATTGCTTTTACTCTTAAGCTGACAAATTACATAATACAGTATATAAGCAAAGTATAGGTCATTACCAGCCCTTGATGTAGATGTCCATTTGAATAAACTGAAAGAGGCAGCAAAGTAGTTAGGAAGCTAGTATATATGTATATAAGAGAAGATATCTACTTACTACAAAAGGAAGAGTTAAAGATTTACTTTTTCATTCTCATCTTTCATTTTTTTGTAATCTAAATAGTTAATATGAGTTACTATGTTTTACCATTAGATTACAACAAAATGAATGTGAATAAAGAGTAAGTATATAGTAAAAAAAATAATCTTAAGTCTAGTTCTACCAGAGTTGTCACGGGGGGAAGATTTGCGGGCTTCCAACAATTCTTTTAGCCTTTTTGTAGCCATTGTTGCTTCCTCTGTCTTCCTTTGAAGAACCTGCAAATAATAATTAACCAACGACTCGTTTCATAAAAATCACAAGGCAATTTTCCATCCAATCGTAGATCTTTAACTTACCATTTTCTGGCGATGGTTTAGAGCCTCAAGTTTATGTCGTTCATACTCGTTCTTTCTTCCCTCCTTTTTCAACTGCTTATAATTAAAACAAGATTAAAATTACATTCATATGACACAAGCACGCATTTTCGTCCAAGTCTCAAGTACAACCACAGCATGATTAATTTTCAGAGGACAAAACCACTGCAAATGTACATAATTTTCTAAAGATCAATAAAATGATAAAAGAGTAAATGACATCCTAAAATTGCTATTCGGATTACACAATACTCCTACTTTTCAAACGTTTACAACAACTACCCTTATAATGATACACACTAAAATATCTTTAAAGCAATTAAAAGGGTTAGTAAAATGGAAAGGAATGTCAATGTATTGTTACAAATGATTTTTGTAGATCTCTCAGAAGGAAGGGTATCAAACAAAATCTGAAAAAAAAGACAGATAACTGTAGTTTACTTAAACAAACTTAAAAGACAAAGTTTCCTTGATGAAGTATTTCAATAACTAATATATAAAACATAAGAAAATAATAAAATTCTAGAACAAAACGAATGTTAACTTCTATAAACATGCTTCATAAGAAACATAAGCATAGTTCCCTACAGAACTAATAACTATTTTGTCATTTATCTGAAGTAGAAATGTCGTTGTCAAAGACCAACTCTTCACAAAGCTTAAGTCATCCGGTGAAGGCTTACAAATGGTTTTAATGTTCTATATCTACCATGTCCCTTCACTACAAAGATTCACCTACCGTAGAACAGACATTCAATTATATTATTTAAAATAATGGGGCCGACAAGGATCAACCTCCTGACCCTTTGGCCATAGATGCTATAATACCATGTCATCATAAAATATCACAAAATTTTTAAACCTATTATGGAAACTCAAATAGTTATATATCTACATTAGTCATTAAATGCAATATGCTATCATGGATTCCATAATTTGATGGGGTGAGATTAAGAAGCACAAGAAAATTACAACATTCAACAAAAATCCGGCGTGCCATATGCTTTGAGACATAGCACAGATATTGAAGGGTGTGCTCAATAGGGCCTCAAATTGATCACAGTAAGGCACATTGAAACTCCTCTGCATTTTTTAAACCAAAAAACAAATTATGATGACAACCGACCATAAAATTAAGCAAACCACCTGGAGCAGCTCCCTCTCCCGAGAAGCTTTCCATTGTCGAAATTGTTCAGATTCTTGTTTAATTTTATGCTGCAACTGAACCTGCAATGTATGCGAATACAATTATCAGACATGAAAAATAAAACACTTGTTAATTAATCAGCTCAGAAAATTCGAAACTGGCCTTCTGAGCCTTGATATACTGTATCTCAGCCTGCAGTCTTTTTGCAGCTTCTTCACTCTTCTCCTTTTGCTTTAATAATTGCACCTGGCTTTCTTGTTTCTTCTTCAGGTCTAAAATCTGAAGTTTCAATATTGATAAAAAAAATGAATGAATGGAAAAAGAGTCTTGGTTAAGAATGAGAACTTTATGACTCGAGAATGACATTAAGAAAAGTAAAAGAATCACCTGTGCTTCCAAAGCTTTCAACTTTTGGCCTCGAACATCTAGTGTTTTGTGTGCTAGTCCATCTGAATTAGCAGAAAGATTCTGTACCTCATGCAATAATCTGTCCCTGTCTTCCTGTCATTATTAGTCCAAAATCCATCATTGGGATAAAAAGACTTTAAGCGCAGCACTGCAAAGCTATTTAAAAGTAAATAAGTCCAGTTCAACCTGAACTTTCCTTTTCTCCTCCTCAAGTTCCAGAATTTTCTTCCCGAAGTGTTGTTTAAGTGCCTCAGTATCAACTGCAATGAGCTTCATCTCAGACTGCAGAAAAAAAAGGGCGATAGATTGAGATACTTAGTTGAAAATCCATTACTCGGTTTGAACATAATAGGCAATGATATGATGAAAAAAAGCCTAATGTTCACCCACATAAGGAATATCATAGAGCTCACACTCATTTCCTGGTTTGTTTTTTAAAAGGTACTGACTTGGCTAATACTTTGAAATATTTGTGCTGACTTCTTAACAGCTAGATAGAAGCTAGAATATTGCTTTACTAATATATTTATATTATACATAGACCCACACGTTTGCAACACATTCAATGTGATGTTTAACAAAAAATGAATTCTAACTCGTGCTTAATTAGATTAAAAAATAACTTTCAAAGGAGACATTTATTATCACTTGTATATACAATCTCAAAACAAATTGAAAAAAATGAAACCTCTTTCTGCTCCAATCGCTTATTCAACTCATTCATCTCTTTATCCATGGTATTTTGTAATAGCACATGCTCCAACTCTTTTGCCGCTTCATCAGTTTCCTTTGAATCATCACCTGCAAAATGGGGAAAGAAAAGGAGATTGTTCAGATGTTGAAGACTGAACCAAAAGTATAAGAGCTTCACTCAATAAGTCCAAACTAACATAGTGGGGAACAACTCAACGTCTCAAACACATAATATAACGAGAAAGTATAAAGCCACTGCTCAATCCCGTATCATTCATCCCAAGACTATGGTGCCCATGTATGTTGAACGCAATCCTTCCATAACTGGTAAACCCCTATGTACTAGGAGTAGGAACTGGAAAAGAACATATTTTCCAAAAAATGGAGCAAGAGAACGAGTTATCTATTTCCTCTCCCCATCTACCATTTTTCATATTCCTATATGCGGATATTCTTAAATTAAAAAATCAATTTTTGACTAAAAAGCAGATTAATTAATGTCTACCTGATATACTTCCAACCATGGGATGGTCAGATGAATCTAAGCTCTGAAAGGGTCTCTCAAGCCCATCAGCTTTCATGAGATAAATGTTTCCATCCTGAGAAAGAAAAGAAAAAGTTAATTATGCGATAGTATTTAATCAGCATAAAAAAAATGTAACACGCATTTAAATTTTAAGTTTTTCCTATTAACATACTGCCGGTTCATCGATTTCACATCTCCCTACAAAAGCACATCTACTGCGATATTCATGAAGTTCTCTGTAAAGGTCCTCATTAGTTGCCTCAAGCCAAGCAATCCTTTCCTTAAGAACCTGTAGAAGATGAGCAGCAAGAAATGCATGAAACTCAAAAAACTCACGATAATTTAAAGTGCAAGTTTCAGTTATGATAAATACCCGCACTTCATCGACAGGAGCTGCTCCCCGAGAACAGAGTTCAGCCTGCAAGTACTTCAACTGCTGGCGCATTTGTTGCATCTCATCAGATATTAGATCTCGATTAACCTGTAAAATTAATAATACAGATTATAGCATATGAACCTTGAACGAATGAATTTCCTCATCTTCCTAAGGCAAAGAACAGGACAAGAACTAAAGTAAAAGAGAATTGTGGAAACTTACAACGGGCTTATTTTGAATATTGCGAGCACGGTTTGCATACTTGAGAGTGTTAAGGGTTTCCTCGGCATTGACATCGGCAGGACTTATGCAAGCTGGGCAAAGGTGAACCATTTTGGGATTGAAAAGCATGTAAAAATTTACTTTAATTGGAGAAACAATATTGTTAATCTATCTATACAGTAATGTGTAAATATACACATTACAATATCTGATTAATATGTCTTGAAGAAGAAAAAATATCCTCAATTCATCTTGTAGGGTACAAAGCCAACAACTGAATAACAATGAAAGAGGCAGAAATGTCTGGCACCAGAATCTTTTCTGTCAAACTGCATGATGAATTATGTATATATGGCACGTAAAAGAAAATTCCTAAATACTAAACCCTAAAAGAAAGCATAATTACATTTTCTTAAAATGTAAAGAAAGATAAAAATACAGTCCATCTAATTTCGTGATATATATGATAGGAAGATACCCAACAATAATGAAAAAAAAAAATGTCTTCATGGACCAAGAAGAAAACAAATGTTACTTAAAGAACTTGAAATAAGTTAACTAGCCATACATTTAAAACATAAAACTTCCACTGCAATAAGATGGCTTCAACTAAAACATAATGAACTGAAGGAGAGGAATATTTCCTAGTTTAAGTGGATTAAACAAAAGGAAAACATGAACATGCTTAAACACATAAATATTTGGAGCCATAAATCAACTTTCAGCAGTATTACCTATCATGACAGTTTTGCTGTTTCCACCAAGTGAATCCTGCAACAAGGACCAGTTACTTGGATCAAAAGTTTATTATTGTGAAAGGAACAAATCTTTATGTTAAACCATACATTGATAGTGTGAGTGTGTGTTTATACATATAACTAGTATGTCAAACAAGAAAATGTCTGTAACCTGTAAGAGTCGAGTGAGTTTGCTATCACGATAAGGAACATGCACACCTTCCTTCCGCTTTTTTTCATCCCCCAGTGCACTTATGACGTTACCAAGAGCAAGAAGACCTTTATTGATGTGTATGCCTATCGAAAAATATTCATTATCATTTTCAATTATTGGAACACTGTCTCTGACAGAAGTATACAAGGTATTCATGTTAATCTTGTATTATCAACCTTCTTTCAAACGAAGACCGTCAGAACCTGTTCTTTTAGCTCGTTCAGATCCAGCTAGATCTACTAAATGGAGCTTTGCTGAAAGGTATTCTTCACCCATATCCTCATCTGACGAGTCATTGGTGGTAGAAACAAAGTGGAGCTTGTGCATTTGTTCTAATGTAATTGTGAAAATGGCATGCGACCGACTAATACAAGAAAAAGATGAACCACTAGTTATTAGATTATAAAGATTAAATGTAATGGAAATCAAATAAATAAAACTTTTCCATCACTCAAATCTGTGGGTTTAGAATCCAATGGAAATTACAATAAAAATTTAAAACTTACTTTTATTAGGGAAGGAAAGACAAAGAAATAGTAGAAGCTAAATTCAAGAAAAATCAGTACTTAAAAAGCAATCCAAACCATATTATTGACAATCAATAGATATGAAATACAAAAGAAATAATACTATCTTTTGGACGTTGGTCTTTATTTACTATGCTCTTCCACTGAGATACTTCCATAGAGAAAACATCATCTGATTTTACAATAGAAAGGATGGCTTTTTCATTCAGAACTCACCTTCCTCGTACAATTTATTTTGGAAAGGACCTTCTTGATTCAATTAACCCAATTTGGAATTTGAAGTTAAAGTAATTGCTTATATACTACCACCTCTTACCCTATGTCTAGGACCCTTTTAACCAGTTCATGAGAACTAAGGAATTAAGTTAATCGATATAGTGGTATTAACAATTATCCTTGATCTTTTTCCACCTAATTAGTGATTGTATCTTTGCTTATGTTCTAGTTAGTGATTTTCCCTTATCCTAATGTGAGAGAGTTTAAGTAAATACATTTACCACATTCACGGTTATCATTGACAAGAAAAAATGTTACGTACTTACGGACATTTAAAAAAAAATGTAGCAGACGAAAACCGCCCAAAAAGGCTCCTATAAAAAGGACCAAAGGTAGTATGTGCCAGTGGTGCTGGCATGAAAAAGCTGACGATAAAAGAATGTTAAATTTCACATCAAACATTAAAATATCACCACACTGCAGTGTAAGGAAACTGCTTCAATTTTCCAACGCATCCAGACACAAAATGAAAGCATCAAGTATCGTTAATTTATTAGGTTGACATGGGAGATTGAGAACCCATTTACCTGGACTGGTTGTTCATATTTGTACTTCCTGTTGCCCTACTTAAAGAACCTTGCTCCAAGTATGCAGACATCTCATGTAATGTACTTACAGCAACTTCAGTTATTCCTGCAAGTGTTATTATTCCATTTGCTGTTTCACGGATTTGTATTGATGGTTTCCCAGGAAAAGTTATTTTTCCAGAATGGCCATTAGAGTTAGAGGTGTCTGATTTGCCCATAGATACCATATCCAACAGGTCCCTGACCTCTTCCTTCAAAATCTTCAAAATCAAATGCACAATTAAGTCCTTGACATGAATAAGAATTCATGGAAACATTTCCTATTTTTATGAAAAGCAATGCACAGGCGCACCCAGCCAATGCTATGTTTGTACAACTGCTTCAAAATAACTACTGTGTCGAAAATCCTTTCACGTGGACCATTCATTATTAGACAAGTTATTTGAACCTACCATATAAGGCTTCAATTAGAAAAATAAACCTAATTTTTTCTAACATACTATTGTGCATATGCAAACCCACTTAGCATAGTGGACATACCTCAATGAAGGAGACTCGCAACTGAAATTCTGCTTGATGCTTTAGTGTTTCAACTTTATTGAATAAGGCATTCATAACCTGAGGAATTAATCCAGTCCGACAATTGTCATTATAGCCAGTCCCCATGGTATACGTTTTCCCAGATCCTGTCTGTGGCAAATACGTATGTCAAATAAAAAAGATGAACAGAATGATCATTCTCAACTTTAAGAGTGCTTAACATGCAAGATGGACCTAACCTGACCATAGGCAAGTACTGTAGCATTATATCCCTGGAATAAGCCATCAATCAATGGAGCAATGCATTCCTCAAACATGTCAACAGAAGGAGATCCACCATTTCCATAGACATAATCAAAAGTAAAGGAATGTGACCCAATTTGGACCTGGTCATTGAAATACCATTATCATATACTCGGGTGCCGGAAAGCACAAGAAATGTTCAGATTATCAGGGTCACTCTTACCATTTCCACATGTATCAGTGAAATAATTCAGAAAATACGAGTTCATAGTCACAATCTTCAAAGCAAGTAAACTTTCAACATTGAATGCACGCGCAATTTATAGCTTGTCTCAACTCATTTAATGCAGTAACCCGTGGAAAATGGTGTGTTCCTATAAAATTAAAGTCCATGATCGTAACTGGAGAACAAGTTTTATTTTTGTAAAGGTTGCATATCCTTGTAGAAATAATCATTTTATTTCCCTGCTCTCAGCTTAATAAAATAGGAAATTTTCCAAATATAATTTGTGTGAATTGACTAAAAAATCTAAAACAATATGATGTAAATTTCCAGAACTGAGTGAAAAATGCAACGAAAGAGGAAAAAATGCGAAACAAGAAACCAATCCAAATTATGACGAGCTGAGTGAAAGTTACTCGTAGCATGAAAGAGGAAATGCTCTATAGTGCCATGACTAATTATAAAAAAACAAAGTACAAAACCCACCCAGTAATCCTTTCAAACAACAATGTTATCAAATCAAACATCCCCCAATTGTAAGTGAAAGAAACCTCTAAAGCTGGACTTCTATTTTATTTTTATTTTATTTTTTCTAGAGAGGGTTTGTAGCAAATTTTAAGTTTCAATGGTAGGTAAGCAAGAAAGGAATCATAAATGCAGTCATAAAATTTTATTTGCATAAAAAGAAAGAAAGAATCTTCCAAACGATTATTAAGAGAACCCTGGTGCCGAAAAATGAAGAAGACGCCATTAATTAATTAATTGTTCGCTAAACGACAAAGGTAAATAATAAAAAAATTAATAATAATTGTTATTATTATTATTATTATTATTATTATTATTATTATTATTATAATAAAAAACAGAAAGCTGGAAATAAATTTAGAAAATAAAAGAAAATGGAGGAGGAAGATGAGTGAATGAAGAACAGAGTGAGTACCTGAGGTTTCCCTGGCGTGACGGAAACACATTCAATGCAACCTTGCTGTCGTTCATCGGAAATGAGAGGACGAATGTGAAGAGCGACTTTGACAGAGCAATTCTCCGATATTTCCATGGGAAAGGGCCGAAAAAAGCGAGTGAATGTGCTCGTGTCTGACCGAACAGTTAGGATTAGAATGAAAGAAAACGATGCAGCAGCAAACAGCAGACGATAAGAGAGAGAAGGAAGGTGGATTTAACAGCAAGAGAGAGAGGAAGTGGTGGTTGTTGAGAGAAAACGAAGAAGAAAGAAAGAAACAAAAAAGGCGTCGTTTGAAGAGTAGCGGAGCAGAAACCGCTAAGCAACAGCAACAACAACAACACTATCAGTGTCACTTTTCTTCTCCTTCACTACTTCTCTTCTCTTCTCTCTGTTCTATCTTCTGTGGCTATGGAGATGCACACACTTTCTGAATTTCTTTTCTCTATTTTGATGACTCTTTTTTTTTATAATATTTTATTTTTCTCTTCTATTCTCGTGTTTAAGTCCCCGCCTCCAACCGTCTTGACTCTTCCGTTCCCTCTCTGCCACTCTCTTTTCCCTCCATCTATTTTTATTTTATTTTATTTGATTTATCTGTCTTCTAATTAACACCACCTCCTCACAAACACACAAACCAACACCTACTTATTTAATTAATTAATTTCACTTCGTTTAAAAAAATTAATTATAACAGGTTTAATATAATATACAAATTTATGACTGTGGCCATGCTATGTGGCTTGTGTAAATGATGTGGTTGCATTTGCTTTACTTTTCTTATTCCCTGTTCTAATCTAATTAAGGATGGTAACATAATAGGTAGAAATTGAGTCAACTACATGTGTGTGAGTATAGAGATAGGGTAGTGTTAAAAAAAAAAAAAAAAAACGAGACTCGTATCTATATAAATAGTATTTTTAAATGGCTGAATGTGATTTTCAGTGTTATAACACCTGCATTCTTACGTCATACTTCTCATCCAATATTGAAAAATAATAGTAATAATAAATGTCTTTAGATTTTTTATATATTTCACTTTTTTTTTAATTTATCATTGTAATGTTATTAGACTTAATTACGTTTTAGTTCTTAGATTTTACCATCGTTTTATATTTTTAAATTTTTTGCATTGTAATCCATATCATTAAATTCTCCTTTTTTAATCTTTTCGAAATCCAACACCCTATACATAGAGAGACTAAATCTTAATGGTCAAATTTTAAATCAAACAATTATGACAAAATAAACTCTTTATTATGAGCACTACACAAGATTAAGCTAAATTTTAAAAATTATATATTTAAACACTACAAAGAGCATGCATTTTTAGTAAAAAAATATTTCTAAATTACGATCAGAATATAATTTCATTATTATGAAAATATTAATTTAAAATATTTTGAAAATTAACTTTGAAACGTGTATGATTTTTTTTTATTTAATTAGGGGTATTTTAAACAAATTATTCCTAAACGTTTTTTAAAATAATTTTGAAAAAATCAATCCAAAATATTTTTAAAACAATTATTTTAAAAATATAAAAATAAAATTATATTTTTTTTACTGTATAATATATTTTTTTAAATAAATATGATATATATATATATATATATATATATATATATATATATATATATATATATATGCAAACTCCAGGTTAAAAGCAACTTTTAATACATGTAATATTAATGAGTTTATAAATGTAATCATCATCTATTTAAAAGCACAATAATTAAGAAAATTAACATAAAAGATGTGAAAATAATTTAACACAACAATTATACATTAACCGGATGTTTTGATATATATATATATATATATATATATATATATATATATATATATATATATACTTAAACAATATAAAATAAAATATGTAATTATTTTCATCACATTCATTAATAATGACTACAATCAACATCTCTTTATTATAATTATACGACTATTATAATTATCCTTATTATTTTTATTTATTAATATTATTAACTTATTATTATTTTGAATTATTAGTTATCATTAATATTATTAATATTGTGACAATTCTGATTTGTCCTTATATAACCATCATTATCGCATTTTTAGACTATTACTTATTCATCCATTTTTAACTTCATATTATTTGCTGTAGTCATGGCATTGACCATTATTAATAATGATGGCAATATCAATTATGATTACTGCGAAATAATGATAATTTAAAATGAAAGTTACTACTAATTAATAATATTTGGAATATGATAATTTATACTTAGTTATTTGTTTTGATTGTATAAATAATTATAATTTTGACGTCATGTTGATTTTTCAATTGAAAGCATGTCAAGCTTCCAATACCTCCATAGTTTGGTAGGGAACAAACCTCTTTTACTCTGTTCTATCATGACTTTGATTTAACTCTGTTTTTTTTTGTTGTTGTTGGTTGGTTGACATCCACATAAGTGATGGTATCCTAAAATGTGCATGGCTTGGGCGTAGTTCATTATTGTTATGATGTATGAGGAATGATGTGTGATGGAAGAAAATAATGGGAAGAGAAAAGGGTGTGTGTTTTTCTTGTCCAGGAGCAGGAGCTGTTCTGAGAAGTCCCAGGAATCAGAGTCCAGATGGCAGCTTTGTGCAGAAAGATAAATGAGGGTGAAAAGTTGGAGGGGCGAAAGGGATAGGCACCACCACAATGAGACGTAGCATAAGGGTAAAAACAAGCTTTTGGGCCCTCACTCACATGATCATCAAAATACCCACTTTCTAAGCCTTTTCTGTGCTGCGGTCCCCTTCCCACCAGATTCAGATCAACATGCTCATTTAGTACCAAATGTTTCTGTCTCTATTTACTTATCTTGGATGAGTTTTTATGTATAAACATCTCCAGGTCCCTATGGGAGTTCATGGTGTCACCTTCACCTGCTTTTACACCACACTTTCTCTTTCTTTAATCTAAACTTTAACAAAAGGAAAATGTTGGCTAATCATTATCATGGAGGATGAATCGTTAGAAGAGGAGGAGTTTAATCAATATTACCTAAAAATAGTCTGTTTCATGACACTGAAATTTCCTACTTATTTATGTACGTAATTAATTCATTCTTATCTACAAATAAATTTGTAGATGGTTTGTATTTTCATGTGAGTATTCTTACAAATCTAAGTTCATAGGTAAGAATTTTCAAGTAAGTGACAATTTCCTGTTATAGGATTTAAAAGAATCTTTTTATAGACATTGAAACTTTAACTTCTAATAGAGAACTTTAAGTGGTCACAAAAATTTGTTTTGTTTCTTCTTATATTTCTATTAAATTAATCTAAAATATCTTGTTTGAACTGTCACGTAATGATGTTTTTGTCACCCAAAAACAATTAAACTACTTACCCTAATAACAAATTTTATTTTCTCTAATTTTACATTAATTCCACTCCACGTCTAATCTTTCAATCAATACCTTTAAACCTAGCAACGAAAAAACAAAGATAAAATATAAGAAAAAAAAACTTGTAACTAAACTTAAAGAATAAAAAAATAAGAGATACCACATTATTACATCTAACATATTCAAAAGTCCGTTAAAAATAATCCAAATTATGAATTAAAAAAAAAAAACTCACATATTTAACTTCGAAGTAATATTTGGAAAATGGGTTGAGGCCTTTGGGACGCTCGGTGTGCCAATGAACGATCGATGTAACATGAACCAATTCACATTATCTATTCCTGTAGTTGATGGTCACACATATGCGCACGTTGTTCAACCCTCCATTTTGGATCCCGCGATATTTCAGTTTTAGGTAAAATTACAAACTTTCCACGGCAAAATCACAGTAAAATGGGTTAAGTTAAGATTGATGGTCGACTTATAAATCTGTCTCAAAATTTATATGTTGGCTTGGTAGTTTTATTTTGTTTTTCTAGTTTCACATAATTTGTTAATCTGGCGAGATGATTTTATCCCCTTAACTTGTTTAAAAAAATGTATATATTAAAATTAAAATTGTAATATTATAATTAAAATATTTTTTTTATTATATTATTGAGATACATAAATTTTATAATTTAAATTATAAATATCAACAAATTAAAAAAATTATTAATTATAATTAAATATTTTAATAGTTAAATATAATATTTTTTAATAAAAATATTAATTAATACAAAAATTTAAAAATTATTTATATAATTACAAATATTTTATTAAAAATTTATATACATGTATAAAAGAATATTAATCTGTTGATGTAATTCGTTCAGCCTTAAATTTTTTTTTACGGATTAAAACTAAGATAAATTAAAATAATATGAATTAATTTTATTTTGATGAAAAAAAATCAAGACCGAAAGCAGGTAGGGACAAGTGACCGGACTCCATTTCTTTTTTAACTCTAATTATATATTTAAATTTAAATTTTAAAATATTTATATTTGAAAAAAATTTATTTTCTTTTTCTATTATATATAAAGTTATTTTTTTATATTTTAACATTTTTACTTTTCTTCTACCCACTCTTTAATTCTTTTATTTTTTTAATTTTATATATCAATTAGTTTATTATATTATTTTTTTCTCTCTTATCTTTCAGTTTTTTCACATTTCTTTGATCTCTCAAATCATTTTTTTTTCAATTTTTTCAACTAATTTGATGAACACAAACTTAATTTTTTTTCTTTATCTTTTTCTAAATATTTTATATAAGTCTTAATAATAACTAATATTATTTTATTTATAAATTTATATTTATTAGATTTTATTATATCATATTTTCTGGATTTTATTATTCTTATTTTTCATATATCAAATTTTATTTTAATAAAATAATTATATTTTAAATTATTAAAAAAAATTAATAATTTTAACTTTTATTACTTTAAACTAATTAAATAATAATTAACTTATTAAATATTTCTTTATAAACTATATATTTCATATTTTTAAATAACAACTTAAAAAAAATTAACTTATTTAATCAAATGTTTGAATAATAATAATAATAATGTTATAAGTATTCTATATCTGTATAAAGGAAAAATGATTAAATATTTCTTTTACATACATATTTTAATATAAATATAATAAATTAAAAAATATATTTAATTAATAATAATTACAAATTATAAATATTTATTTATGTATAAAAAATACATAAAAATGGTAAAATTAATTTATTATAAATATAATTATTTTTTAGAAATAATGTAGATTTGAGACGGGATGAAGGTGGAGAAATCTGAAACCCAACAAAGACGATGACTTAATTTCTAACTTCAACGGGGATCAAAGATGAGAGCGAAGATAGTTAAAAAAGTTAGAAACAGAGATTAATTAACGATCTCAACTTTTATTATTATACAAATTTGTTTATTTAATATAATCCAATATAATGATCCATTAATTCAATGACTTTGTGCTTTAATCAGTATATTACTTATTAAACTAAAAACATTGAATTAGTTACAAATTAATATTAACAAATACTTGTGAAAAAAAAACTCTTAGACCATATTACTAAAATATATTTTGGTCTTTATTTTTTTCTCTCTTTAATCAAACTATAATATGCATTTGGTGTAGATTTCACTTGACAAAACAAATTTGGAAAATTAAGTTAAACTCAAATTTATTTTATAATATGATATAAATTTTTATCCTATCGAAACTTGTTCAACCTATTGTACTCTTTATTCATAATTTTTCGTTTTACATTTTTTAAATATTTAATTGTGATGTGGCAAAGGGAGAAGTGGGCCACGGTTTTTAAAAAAATCTTTAAAATTTTATTAAAAAATATATTATGATTTTCTAAAAAAATATATTTGTATATATTAGTCCTTAAAAGTAATTTTCAAACTCTCCTCGTATAAATAGAAAATGTGTTAATAATTAACACTATAGGTCGAGTTATCATTTCAATATTTTAAAATTACTATTGTTTTATTAGGTAATGAATTTAATTTTTTTTATTAATTTAAGACATAAAATTTGCTACCCACAATTGTTTGAAAAGAAAGTCGCAACGCATAATGGGAAACTAAATCTTATTAAAAATTAAAAAATCTAATATAAAATCATCATAAGACATTTTCTATATATGTCATTTTCACTAAATAGTTAATCTTCAAAGATTTGTTATAAGAGAATTTAATAAGCTAAGTTTCATATCTTAAAATAATAATAATAATTTAAAATTATGCCTTAAAGTAAAAAAATTACCACAATAAAATCATCATCAAACCTAAAATGCATCACTACAAACTTATTAGGAAATTTACACGACATCTTATGGCTTCTAACATAATTACGATGGTCAAATTTACAAGTGTAAATAATCTAATTTTTTTATTCATTTTGTTGCATAATTAACCAAAAATAGTATTTAAAGAAATTTAATTTTGAAAATTTAATTTGTTTTATCGGTGTTAATAGTTTCTCAATTGGGAATAATATTGTATTTATATTATATTTTTATATGCTATAACTTTAATCAAAGTATGTGTTAGAGTAAAGGATTAAATTACAACTCTTAATTGTTCTGATCTCAACTTATGTATGAAAAAAAGAAAAAACGATAGTTTCATCTTTAATAATAGAGACGTAATTTCGTCTAAAACATTGAGTGATGTTATAAATTGCAAATGTACTAAAAAATTATATAATTGGTAATTCTCGTACTATTTATTTTACCACATACATGCCCATAAATAATATAGTCTAAAAGTTTTTGGGATCTTTAATTTTAAATTTATTATTATTATAATAAGTTTACATGTATTGTTGATGTAGAAAAAAATATTATAAATAAAATTAAAAAATTGTTATTAATTTGATTTATAAGATAATAATTAAAATACAATAAGTTATTGTTAGATAATAATATAAATCTTATATTTGTTACATTAATATTATTATTTGTTTTGGAACTCGTGAAGTAGCTCTTGGATTCCATTCCACTTCTGCATAAGGTATTCGTCCATGACATGAGATGCGCCAAAAGAGAAAAGGAAAAATGTACATTTTTGGGGGTAACTTTTATGTCTTGGTACACGTGGGAGAGGGATCCAAAGCTATACAAAGTGGTTTAATTAAGTATTTTGTCAAACAAATTATTTAAAACACAATGTATGTTTCTTCCTTAATTTTTTTTGGAAGTATATACAAGATATGAAACATGTACTAATATGTCTGAGAACATGACAGTAACTGGGTTGGGGTGTCTTTCTCGATCAGAACATCCATTTATTATTCTGTAAAAGATGACACATAAAATTTGCTTCTTTATCATATTTATTTAGTATTGCTTAGATTTCAATCGTGTAAAATATAAGTCACGGAAAGCAATTAGGTTCCTTGGTCAAGAAGAGTCGTTGGGTGATAGTTGAAGTGAAAGAAAATATATAAAATAAAACTTGAGATGGAATTTGTTTACAAAGTAAGTAGATTTAATTTGTTTTTAATGTTGTTGTTAAGTACTGACAACAACACGTTATGAACATATTTATATTCGTTTACTTTAGAAACACACTGAACAGAACAAACAGGTTTTGCTGACTACGATGTTGACTTCAATTTTCTTTCTTTACCGAACACTTTCTCATTGGATTCTTCCCAATTTCATAGATTGAGAACGGCATGAGAAAAGTAACCAAGGAAGCTCAATGAAACCCCACTTGGTGCCAGAAAGATACATTTGATTCGTTTAGTTTCTTCTTGGTAGTCCCAAAAAAAGAGTATGCAGGATTAGACTTGACCTACAACTAATCACTCTCTTTCTTGTAAGTAAAAAAAGAACATTTTTTTGGTTTACAAGAATCATTCGCTTTATAAATGAAAATACGGTTTTTGTCTCTTGGGTGAGCTTAGGGTCTTATTCAATGGTTACAACCAAAGGTTTAGGCTGTTTCCTGATACAAGTGAAAATAACTTTTTTTTTTTTTAATCTCAAATATATAATTAGTTCGTTTATTTTTTTCAACAACATGATTATGAATGATAATATTTATCAAATATCAAGACATTTTTCAAACAATTTATTGACGTTGGATTCAATATATTAAAGAGAAAAATAATTAAGGGAAAGCTTAATAGCTTATTATTGCGTTGCAAGATAATCTCACATAAAATATGATGATATTTTTTATTTAAAATCTTAAAATTATAAATTTGTAGGGTTTTTTACTTGTACCGCGAATTAATATTTTGTGTGTATATTGATGTAGAATGTATTGGTTGAAATTAAACCATGCATTTCCTGATACTACTGAAAAGTGGGAAGACCCTAGGTACCTTAGGTCAAAATGCATGCTAAGAAAGTGAAAATAAAAAAAACATTTCTCCTATTAGTTCCATTTTTGGAGACCTAATAGTATCATTTCATCGCAGGGAAAAAAATCTGAATAATCTTAAGTTTAGGTCTTAGGAAGTAGTGTATCCAACAAAATGAACGTGTCATTGTTAATCATATCCCTACTAATTTTCTGTAGGTATCATTTTCGTGTCGCTATAGTATGATTAAAGAATCTATAAGAAATGGATTAGTGTTCTTGTTTCTTAGTACTGTAAAAGCAATAAGAGAATGAAGGGTCATTGTGCATACGAAGGACACTTGTTTTCTAAATTAATGGGCATAAACAAGAATAGTGAGGACCTGCTAAGCATATGAAAAGCTATTATTTGTTTTTCTAAAACATGTTTATCACCGAATCTTATGATTTGTCCGGGAGAAGACTTTTATTTTATTGTTGCTTTCGTTGATGACAAATTTTGGGTTATGTATATATATGATACATATTTAAATGTGTTAGGGTCATTATTTATTAAGCCAAATAATAAAGTGATCTGAATAAATTAAAGTTTTGGCTAAAGGCATATGTCATGAAAATATGATTGTGTAGAGACCATAGAGTAATTTTTAATTTGATGAGGGGCCAAATTGAAAATACTAAAACTTAAGTAATTAATCTAATTTTGGTTATATAAAGGGTCATGGTCCCCTTCGAGAAGCACAGACGAGAACACGATTCATGATCCAGTTCTTTTCTTTCTATCCCCATTAAGAGAGAAAATCAAGAGGGAAATACAGGTGCTCTTCAGGTGGAAGACCATAAGATCAACTAAAAAGTGCTCTACAAAGGATATCGTCATTATGACCAATTCAGGTACGCTTTCGCATTTAGTTTATAACATGTTTACAGTATGGGATTATTGATATATGTTTGATCATTAAGAAGAAGATCATATTTAATTACAGTTTAAACTAACAATTGGTATTAGAGCAATCCATACTTGATTCATGTTTGCATTTGGAATTTAGATTTTGTTTAAATTGACAACCCTAGGTGGAGAATAATATCCAAATTTTGTAAACCCTAAAATCAAATTTGGGGTAAAATTGTCCCGTCAGTTTAGCGTCACATTGTCGCCGGTGAGGAATCTCCGGCGACACCGCAAGGTTCCGGTACACAAACCGCTATCAAGTCCTGCTAGCGTTTCTTCAATCTCAACCCCACCGGCGAACTAACCAACGAGACGTTCCACCAACTTTCGCTGCCGCGGTGCGGCGTCCCGGACGTGAACTTCGAGTTCTCCGCCGTGGGGAATGTGTCGTGGCCCAAGGCCGGGCGGCAGTGGTTCTCCGGGATGAGGCTCACGTACGGGTTCTTCCCGACGAGAAGGATTCCGGGGAACGCGACTGAGGTGTTCAGGAGGGCGTTCGTGCGGTGGGGTAGGGCTGTTCCGGGGTTGAATCTGACGGAGGGGAGTTATGATGAGGCTGATATTAGGGTGGGGTTTTACGATTTTGACGAGGGCGTTGGATTTGGAGAGTGTGGCGATGCATCAGATAGGGCATTTGTTAGGGCTTGATCATTCGAACGTGGAGGAGTCTGTTATATACCCTTATGTGTTGCCGTCGAAGCAAAGAAAGGTGGAGCTCTCGGTCTCTGATAAGGTCAAGATTCAGTGTGTGCTTAGTCATGGAAACTCTGGGCAAGGTGAACAAAGAGGTCATCCTCATAAATTCACAAGTACAGTTAACCACAAGTTTTATAAGAACTACACTTTCAACAGAAGGCCAACAAATGAATCATACCTTCAACATATTCATGAGGAAGCTGCACACCTCCATCTTGTCCACATGCAGAGTATCCACTTAATCGCAAGTTCCCTTTGACAGGCTTAACTGACAATACTGTCCTAAACCAGTCAGCTGTCTTACCTAATGCCTGCAATAAGTTTCCACCAATGATAAATATCTCTATCCAATCTTTATTGTATAGCTCTAGCTAACAACACCATGCCAAACAATATTTATGCCAAACATGGCACAGAATCACATGAGATCATTGGCCTGATGAAGGGGAGCATCCGCATAACAGTTGGAGTTGTTGCCATGTACTCAAAAGTTACAGGCTCAAGCTATGTTGCATGGCAAGGCTCCCAACTACAGACCCACCACATAGTAGATCTGGTCATTCTCTGGACTCCACGCATATCCAGATCTTTAATTATTTATGGCACCAGGAGACACAATTTTTAATTATCAACCAAGTAAAACAAACCACAGTTTAAAGGAGAGAAACGCAGGATCTCTAACAACTACCACATTAGGGTTTATGCTAATTCTAGCTTGATTTTGGATGAATATGGTGGCTTTTCTGGTGGACATCGATGGCAAGGAAGTCAAGGCGCAGATCTGGGACACTGTGGGTCAAGAGCGCTTCCGAGCCATCACTTCCTCTTAGTCTAATTCATCCTTTTGATTGGACTAATTAATCCTCCATCAACGTAGTCCTCCCAATGCTCTTTGAAGCAGGTGTCAAGGATGGATTTGAGGGTGATTAGCCATTGTGGATGATGGGTGTTTTATGGGATGGAGAGAATAGGAGTGTGTGAGTGTCTAATGCTAATTCCAGACCCGAATCAAAGATGGGTCATGCACCACAATTACTCGACACGTAACAGTTGTACCCTACAATTTAATGGATCCCTCTTTCCCCTCTTTCACATAATTAATCCTCAACATCGTGTTATGTTATGTTGTTACGTGTTACAAATACTAACAAATAATTAATTTATGGAATGTTTAAACTGTGGTAGAGGTACACTGTACAATTCATTCAATCAGAACCAATAGTATTTTTTTTAAAATAAATAATTATATAAATTTGGTTTTTGTTATATAAATAAAATATTAATTTTTTGGTAGTTTAATATTTTTGTGAACAAATTGAGTCAAGAAGTTACCAAAGTAATATTTATTGAATTGGGTAGTTTATGAAAAATATTGAATGTTAGTGTTTGTGTATATTCATGCGAGTATTAGTCGGCCCAAAGGAAGATTAATATTTGGCCGAATTGCACATACACTTGTAATGATAAACATATGATAATTATAAGGATTTGCTTTGTCGATGATAAATCAATCCAAAGACTGGTTTGTTGTTGGACGTGCTTTATTGTCAATGTTTGATTATTACAACAAGATACCTCTAGCAGTTAATATTACTGTCCAAAGACTTGATATTGATGGTGCATTGGGTGTCTTGAGATGGGTTAAACCATTATTTGAATATATATTTTATTTATAATTATTTATTTTATAATGTGAGCATAATTAGTTTATTTCCTTTGTTCTAATCTAGCTACAATTGCTTCTGTATCTGCCAATTTAAATTCTGTTCCGGTTCTCAATGGAACAAATTTTAAGGACTGGAAAGAGAACATTGATATTGTTCTTGGTTGCATGGATATGGATCTTGCGTTAAGGATTGAGCAACCCCTACTCCTACGGATTCAAGTACCTCTGAACAGAAAAGAGATTATGAGAAGTGGGATCGCTCAAATCGCATGAGTCTAATGATCATTAAGCGCGACATCCCGGAGATGTTTAGGGGCACTGTTTCTGAAAACATCACAAGTGCCAAAGAATTTCTTACTGAAATTGAACAGCGCTTTGCAAAAAGCGATAAGGCGGAGGCAAGCACTCTTCTTCAGAACTTGATCTCCATGAAATATCAGGGCAAAGGAAATATCAGGGAATACATTATGAGCATGTCTAATATTGTTTTTAAGCTCAAGGCACTAAAGCTTGAACTCTCAGAAGACTTGCTCATTCATTTGGTGTTGATTTCTCTTCCCGCAACGTTTAATCAATTTAAGGTATCTTACAACTGTCAAAAGGATAAATGGTCTCTTAATGAACTCATTTCTCATTGCGTGCAAGAAGAAGAAAGACTAAAACAAGACAAGACAGAAAGTGCTCATTTTGCAAGCACCTTTAAGACTAAAGGCAAAAGAAAGAGATCGGAGGATCCCAAGAAGGAAGCTGCTAAAGGTCCAGAACAAAAGAAACAAACTCAAGAAAATAAATGTTTCTTTTGCAATAAGACTGGACACATAAAGAAGCAATGTGCTAAATATCATGCTTGGCGTGAAAAGAAAGGGTTGCCTAAATTACCGGAAGCCAACTAATTCTGAAAGATGAATATACATTGAAAATGACAAATTGGTGGAGATGGAGACTATTGAACATTTTAGATTATTATTGTGTACTGGTTTTTTATTTTAGATTTAAAAGACATTTTTTGTCGTGCCGTCTTTTAAACGGAATTTGGTTTCAGTTTCTTATTTGGACAAATTAGATTATTTGTGTTCATTTGGAAACAATAAGTTCAGTTTGTCTTTTAATTCAGATATTGTTATAACTGGTTCATTTTTGGCTAATGATAATCTATATTTACTTGATACTGTGGTCACCTATAATGCAACTCTTAATACAGAATCCCGTGGTTATTCTGAAAGAGCCAGGGGATATAAATTTTATGATCTCACATTAAAGACAATTTTTGAGATGGGAACTGTTATGTTCTTTGAGGATATTGAGTTTGGGGGAAGAATAAGATTAAGAATTTTGTATTGGAGGAAGAATCGACAATAAATCCAGAACCGATTCAAACAGTTACTTTTGATAAAGTAAGTTCGGAACCTCCACAAGACATTGATGATAAACCTCATATTCAAGATGATTTGATTGTTCGGCAAGACCAAACTCAAGATCCTCAAGAACTTGTGCGTCATGAGCCGGGGATACTCCATTTACTAAAGGAGACAAGTTTAGTCTAAATAAGTGCCCAAAGAGGAATTTAGAAATTGAGGAAATGCAACAGATTCCCCATGCATCAACTATCGGGAGTTTGATGTATTCCCAAATATGTACGCGTCCAGTCATAACATACATAGTTGGGGTTCTAGGCAGATATTTAAGCAATTCAGGAATAGACCAATGGAAAGCAACAAAAAGGATCATAAGATATTTAAAGAGAACAAAAGATTATATGCTCACATACAGGAGGTCAGACCAGTTGGAGATCGCTGGATTTTCTGACTCAGATTTTGCAGGATGTCAAGAATTTGTAACATACTATGAGACATCAAATCATGGAATATGGCTGAGAAATTTTGTCACAGGGCTGCAAATTGTGAAAGGCATTGAAAGACCACTTAAGTTATATTGTGACAATAAATCAGCTGTATTGTTAAGGAAAGAGTACAAAGTGGACAAATTTTCATAGAACACTTAAGGACAAACTCCATGATAGCATATCCTCTAACTAAAGGACTTCCGCCCAAGGTCTTTCATGAGCATGTTGCTCACATGAGTGTTTTACGGTTTGAGGAATTTGTGGTTTAGTGGGAGTTAGTCATTTTCATATATTTTATGTTCTATGTTTAATTTTATATATGTATACATTGTTTTTTGGACATATTTGGTTATCTATAGATATGCGGTTTTCTTGTTCATTCATTACACTTTGTACATTAAGGTTATTATATCGATCTCGATAAGTTAAAGTTTGGACCAGTTGAAAATAGACGTGTACGAGATCACCTTCACGTAATTTTTCATGCTACACATTTCATGATGAATCCATGTCATTTGGTTATGTCGGGATGAGTAATCTTGTTGGTTTTAGTTGCGATGATGCAATGAAAAGCTGGTTTGGTTCTATATCCTTATATGATTAATGGACGGGACTTTTGGAATATGCTAAAGGAATATAATGACAATTTTGAGCTCATAAAGTCTAACACATTTGTAAGGTTGTAAAAACATATATATTTGTGACCAGGTGGGAGATTGTTGGCAAATTTTGGGTCATGTATATATATGATACATATTTAAATGTGTTAGGGTCATTATTTATTAAGCCAAATAATAAAGTGATCTGAATAAATTAAAGTTTTGGCTAAAGGCATATGTCATGAAAATATGATTGTGTAGAGACCATAGAGTAATTTTTAATTTGATGAGGGGTCAAATTGAAAATACTAAAACTTAAGTAATTAACCTAATTTTGGTTATATAAAGGGTCATGGTCCCTCTCGAGAGCACGATGACGAACACGATTCTGATCCCGTTCTTTTCTTTCTATCCCATCAGAGAGAAAATCAAGAGGGAAATACGAGTGCTTCTTCGGTGGAAGACCATAAGATCAACTCAAAAGTGCTTATACAAAGGATATCGTCATTATGACCAATTCAGTGCATGCTTTCGCATTTAGTTTATAACATGTTTACGAGTATGAGATTATTGATATATGTTTAATCATTAAAAAGAAGATCATATTTAATTACAGTTTAAACTAACATTCGTATCATGCTAAGCAATAATGTTAGAAAATTGTGAAAAGAAAAAAAGAAAAAGAAAAAATATTGATAGAGAAACATCTTTCGGTTTTCCATCTTTTTATTGAAATTTGGAACTTTATCCCTAATCGACCTCTTCTCACATGCAAACTCCTTTTTGAAGGCATCACCAATTCCTTTTGCTGGTTGGCAAATAAAGTAGTTTTAACTCATGAACC